CCCATTATTTTTTCTCCTTTTTTTAAATATTTATATATATTTTTCTGGTATCTTGGAGGGTTTCGGCCTCTCGCAGCGCTCGGGTGCGGAGCCCTTCCCGCATGTGACGGCTGAAAAGCGGCTGCGCTTTCTGCTCCGGGAAGCAGAGACGCATTCCCAGCGTTTTGCAAAGGTGCCCGCTTTGGAGGGTGGTCTGTGCGCACACAGGGGTTACTCCAGAAAACATAAATGAGCACCCGGTGTTCATGGCGCGCCGCAGCTGGCTCAGGTGGTCCATCCCTTGGAGAAGAGGCTGTGTGTTACTTTGCTCCTGCATGGTGTTGCCACCTACCAGTGAGTTGTGCAAACTACTGCCCGTGCTGCCTGGGGCCGCGCTGCCTCGGGGCTGCTGCCGCTACAGCCGTGCAGCCCATCCGTGCCCGCAGAGCCCTGTAAGGGCATCATGACCAAACAACTTGGATCTGGGAATCGTGAGGGTTTCCCTTTAGCCTGCCCTGGTTTTCCCTCTGCTCTGGTAACACATCTATTTCTGCTGTGCTCCATGCCTGTCCTGCAGAGACTGGCTCTCGCCTTGCTGACTGCTTTCCTTGCAGCTGTGCAGCTCCCAGTGCCCAATCCTCAGGGATTGCTGCAGTCCTAAAGCCTGCCTGGCTGCAGTGTGCTCAGAGCTGTGCAAAGGCAGGTTGCTGCAGATGAGATGCATGGAGAAAATTAATGCAGTGTAATTTGTGGAAGCGCTCGAGTACGGAGGCTTTTCGGTGCTCTTACTGGATGTCCTTTGCAGGATATATTGAGGGTCTCAGGAAAATAAAATTCCATCCTCCAAACTTTGCACAATTGCCTTGAATGATTTCTTTGCAGCAGGTATGTTTTACATATATTTTTCAGGGGGAATCGTTACGAGGCTCTTACCTTGGGGGTAGGGGGCATGTGGAGGCACAGGGGGAGCATAAGGCCGGAAGCGGAGTGATGGGCAGCGCTGTGCTGAGCTGCTTCCAAGCACTTCTGTTCTCCTCCTGAGTGGTTCAGAGGGACACAGGGTAAAATGTGCCCAGAGACCTGGGAAATGAGAGGCTCCAAAGTCAAGCTCCAGTGAGATCTGGGTAAGCAGTTAAGAGCTCAGGGCTCCTCTGTATCAACCATGAGAGCTTGCTGGAGCTTTGTGAAATGCTGCCTTGATGCCTCTGGAGGAGACGTGAGAGGTAGGACTGAAAGATTCCCATGCATTTGCCAAATTGTAAAGTTGGCAGGAGCCGGTGCATGGAAAATTGCAGCGTGAATCATGTGTTTGTCTGATCCTTTTTATTGTAAACCTTTTAATTGCTTTTTCGGATACCCATAAAATAAAGTGCCTGTTAAGGAAGGCTCTCTTTGAAGAGTGGAGGGGGGGAAAAAAAAAGGGGGAAATATTCCAGGTAAAAAGAAAAACAAGCTGAATATAGAACTATGAGATTAGATGGCCTTATAAAAAGTACTTACTGGAGTATTCTATCTTCAAATGAAATGCCTGTGATGAAACCAGGGCTCAGGCTTTCCTTGCCACAAGTGCTCACCTCTGCCGAGGCTTCTTGCTCACGTTCTCTCCATACAGGATCCTGGTTAACGTCGGCGGCTGCGGGATGTCCTGTGGGTGCGATGGGAGCTGACGTGTCTGTTCTGCTTTGCTTACGTTACGTGTTGCAAGAGCTGTGGCGATCTTATCCGAGCCCCTAGTGAACAGTGCTCGCATGCACTGTGTTTAAATCTGCGTCTGCATTTTCCAAAGCACTAGTTTTTGTTTGCTCTTGCTATAGAGGAGATGTAGAGAATAGGAAAAACATAGGGAAAATTGTTTGAAGACCTTATGTCAAGATTTCCTGAAATGAAGAGAAAGGGATGTACTTTTTTGCAGTAGTTCAAAGCATACGTCAGAGTTGTTTGAGAAGTCTTCTGCTTTTTAGCCCTTGTTATCTATGGCTAGCAGGAAAATATTATTCAAAAGAAGGAATAATATGTACAGTTCCAAAAAAAGATGCGAAGATGCACCTTTTTTCTCTATTACATTTTTGCAGGTTGCACAGGAGTGTGTTCATGCATTTTCACTGTTTTTAATCTGCAGCTTGGCAGTTTTGGGGCAGTGTCTAGGAAATGGTTCATGTGAGTGTCCGAGCAGGAGAGCGGTGGAGGGCACCAAGGTGCTGCATCCGCAGCACTGCCGAGCCCTGCTCTCGCCTCCGCTCCGGAGCGTGGTGTCCCTGAGCCCCAGGCACCGGGCAGCCCTTGTGCTCAGCGCAGCAGAGGTGCCCAGCTGCTGCTGCAAGTGCTTTGCCTCTGTTATGTGCTGTTAAATACCACTAATGAGGTACGGCCAAGCAGGGCGCTGCTTTCTAGGTCAATAACAGAACTGACACAGATAGCTATACT